AAGATAATGGGATAGTTTCCGAAAACTAGATCGCCTTACGCTAGTCCAGTGTTACTAGTAAAGAAAAAAAACAGGGGAATACAGACTGTAATTGATTACCGCAGACTTAATAGTCAGACGATAAAGGATAAGTTCCCTTTGCCTCGAATAGATGATCTTTTAGAATGTTTAGGAGGATGCAAAATTTTCACTACTCTGGATTTAGCCCATGGCTATTTGCAAATACCCTTAAGTGAAGAAGCTAAATTGAAGACGGCGTTCATTACTCCAGATGAAACAGGACAGTTCGAAAGGATGACATTTGGGTTAGTAAATGCTCCTGCTGAGTTTCAGCGCCTAATGTCATATGTCCTAGGCCCCTTGTTGAATACTAAGGTGTTGTGTTATATGGATGATATACTTATTCCTGCAAAATCTTGGGAAGAGATGATTTTCAAATTAAAGGAGGTATTAGAATGCCTACGAAAAGCAAATTTAACCTTGAAATTATCTAAATGTGAATTTGGGAAAAGAGAAGAAGTAGATTTCTTAGGTTTTATTATAAACGAAGATGGTATTAGACCGGGATCTAGAAAAATAAAAGCCATAACAGAATTTCCAGAAGAACCAAAGAATGTGCACGAAGTGCGAAGATTTTTGGGCCTGACTGGATTTTTCAGACGATTTGTGCCGAAGTATGCGTTAAAGAGCGAACCATTGACCAGATTGACAAAGAAGAATCGAGACTTCGAGTGGAAGCAAGAACAAAAGAAGTCGTTCGAAACTATTGAAGAAACAACTGACTGATAAGCCCATATTAGCTCACTATCAACCGCATGCAGATACTGAAGTCCATTGTGATGCAAGTGCAGAAGGTTTGAGTGGAATGCTAATGCAACGTGATGAAGATCGAAAATGGCATCTTGTTTATTGCGTCAGTAAGAAAACAACAGAAGCAGAGAGAAAGTATCATTCCAGCAAATTGGAGTTAATGGCCATCGTATGGACGTTGGACAGGTTAAGACAGTTCTTAATCGGCATAAGATTTACAATTATTACTGACTGTCAAGCTCTAATATATATGAATGCGAAGAAGACTACAAATCCTCAAATAGCCCGTTGGTGTAGTTTGATTCAAGAATACGATTTTGAGATAAAGCATAGGTCAGGAAAAAGACTGTCACATATTGATGCTTTGAGCAGAGGTCCTGTATCAGAAGCTGATGATACGATGACGAGAATAGCTGAAAATTTTGAAGTTTGCCAGTCCCTAACCGAAGAAGAGCAAATACTAATGATACAACATGCTGACCAAGACCTGAAAAGAATTATCGAAATTTTCAAGAAGAAACAAGAGGAACGAACTGCTGAGGAGAAAAAAATAATTATGAATTACGTGTTTAAGAAGAATAGACTGTTTTGGAAAACCGTAGTGGATGGAAAGGAGAGACTACTCTATGTGATTCCAAAAAAGCATGAGGAAGAGTGTAGTGGTAAAATTCCATGATTTTGGTCACATTTCTGTGGATAGAACAGTTAGCAAAATTAAGGAATTATATTGGTTCCCAAGCATAAAACGATACATACAAAGACACATATCAGCATGTATTGAGTGCCTTATGAACAAAGCGACAGGTGGCAAGCAACAAGGACTGTTAAGCGCCGTTCCCACTGGGGTTTATCTGAGCTAATGGAGTCAGTTCCCTGTGTCGAAAAAAACTTGGTAAAAAACTGGTTTGGTGACCTACGTTAGTGCGTACTTTTTTACACCATAAAACCTGGTAAAAGACGTTTGCTATTGTTCACATGAATCACTTTGGTCCCTTCGTAAAGAGTTCGAGAGGTAATCAAGAACTATCAGTGATATTTGATAACATGACTAGGTTCGTGAGAATTTTTGCAGTTAAGAATACTAGTGCTAAACATGTTTTATAGTCTTTGAACAATTTTGTTAATGATTTTGGACTACCATAAAGAATAATAAGTGATGGAGGATCTTGTTTTACTTCTCACCAATTTAAGCAGTATTGTACAGATAACAGAATACATCATACTTTGAATTCTACCAAAAACCCCCAAGCGAGTCAACAGAACAATTTTAGGAACGATAATGACAAGTTTGATGGATAAACAACAGATAGATTGGTATTCAAAAATAAAAGAGACAGAAAGAAATCTTAACAATATGGTAAACAAAACTACAAATAAGACTCCATTTGAAATGCTACATGGGTATTCTTCCAGATTTAATGATGGATGGAAAGACCCGCGAGAAATCCAAGAGCAAGCGCAAGGAAGAATTGAGGAACAACAAGTGAAAATGAAAAAGAGATTCGATGGGAAGAGGTGTCGTACACTAATATTTGAGCAAGGAGAAATACGAGGCATATTCGGAAACTACTGTTTTGGAAAAAAAAAAAAAAGTGAATCCAATTTTATTTTACATGATGTGATTCGCCAATGATTTGCCATAGCAGGTGATCAGTTTTTGTATACCATCATCAAAGAAACTTCCCGCCAGTTTCGATAACCACGACTCCACAGCATTTTTCTTGTCATCGTCAGATCCAAAGCGCTTGCCACCAAGCTCGCGCTTCATGTGCAGGAACAAGTGATAGTCGGACGGCGCCAAGTCCGTGCTGTATGGCGGGTGATCGAACTGCTCCCAATGAAACTGTCGAATTAACGATTGAGTGACACCAGCAGTATGGGGCCGAGCATTGTCATGGAGCAACACAATTCCTTTACTGAGCATTCCTCTTCATTTGTTTTAAATGGCACGCCTTAGTTTTGTTAAAGTCTCACAATATCGTGCCGCATTAATGGTTTCACCTCTGGGAAGAAATTCAGGAAGCAAAATGCCTTTCCTATCCCAGAAGACATGATTTTTTGTGATGAGATTTTCACTTTAAACTTTTGTTTTTTCGGAGAATGAGTGTGTCTCCACTCCATCGATTGTTGTTTCGATTCTGGTGTGAAATGACAAATCCAAGTTTCATCACCAGTCACAGTTTGGTTTAAAAAGTTTTCTCCCTCCTCACTGTACCGCGTGAGAAATGTCAGGGCACTACTAAGTTTTGTGAACATCAGTGAGCATTTTTGGAACCCATCGGGAACACAGTTTGTGATAATTCAAGCGGTCAGACACAATTTCGAACAAAACAGTATGTGAAATTTGTGGAAATGCCCCTGAAAGAGTTGTCATTGTGAAGCGTCTGTTCTCATGAATTGCTTCATCAACTTTCCTTACCAAATCATCGGTGACAACAGAAGGCCAACCACTCCGAGCCTCGACGTGGACATTTGTTCGACCTGCATTAAACATTCTTGCCCACTTTCTCACCATTCCACCACTTATCGTGTATTCACCGTAAACTTCTGTCACTTGACGATAAATTTCAGCTGGTTTAACATTACTCGCGTTCAAATATTTAATCACGGCACAAATCCCACAGTCAGCGGGAGAACTAATTGTCTTAAACATTTTGAATGTGCACAGCAAACTGAAAACACAACATAGAGCAACCAAAATGACGACAATTGAAAGTCAGTAAACAAGAAAGACTAGTGCGCATGCGCGGGACGCCTACCACAGCGCTGCGACGGGGCTAGAATGAAACGGTACTTAGTTTCCGAATACGCTACGTAGTTGTGATGAGATGTGCTCCTAAGGCTACAGGTCAGCCTACCAAAACACAACCGAAATATCGAGGGCCATTTATAATAACGGAAATATTACCTAGCGATACCTACAGAATAACTCAACTAGAAGCGAAGAATCGAGGTCGCTACTTCACTACCACTGCTCATGTGAGCCAGCTGAAGCCATGGAGGTGCGATCCCAGCTCTGACGATGATGATGACGACGGTGACGATCAAGATACTGATCAGTTATCAAGCTTAATTCCTCGACGGAATCCAATCAGATTTGTTTGTAAGGACTGATGGAAGTGCTCTTCCCTGTGATTAAGGTGAGATCTTTCCTTTTTTTTGTGTGTGTGTGCTTATCTACGTATGTTTGTTGATAGAAAACTTTAGAAACTTTGAACTTTTGAACATTAGCTGAAAGACTTATTTGTATTTGTTTTGAATTATTTGAGGACTGATAAAAATTGAGTTATTTTATATATGTATATCACGCATTTAGTAATGATTTACAGAAAATTTTTGATTATTATGCTAATGTATCAAAACATATGTGAATTTATGTATGTTAAAATATTTTAGTAAGTTTATCATCATATCAAATTTTAGTATAATGTGTATTCTTCTTAGTGTATTAGTAATATGTATGTTAAGTGATGTGTATACGAGTTGAAGTAGAAAATGGTATTAATTATAAAATTGATTTGTACTCCGAACAATTGGGACGATTGTCAGGTCAGAATGACAAAATGTTATCAGCCGATAGATGGCATTGTAGAAAAGCCGCCGATAGGGGGCGCACGATATCAGTCGAGAATCGGGAAGCGAGAGAATAGGATTAATGTTAAGAATGTTCCGTAATGATATGTATTATTGTATATATTTATTGTAACAATAAAGCATTTATAAAATGCAAGAGTTATCCTGATTGAATGAAAAGTGAAAGCCCGACTTACCCCTAGCCATCCTGAGATTAATAACGGAGGTTAAAGTTAACATACATAATGCTTTGTTTCTTTCATGCATAAACACATTTGTTACTTTCATGGGCAATTTGGTGTTAATCAAAGCAGCTTTACTTTGCTTTTTTTTGGGGGGGGGGACCAGAGCTTGCTTAATTTTTGGAAAGCAGTGCAGTTTATAAACAAAACCAGTCACTGTGGAAAATTTTCCCACCTGAACTACTTTACAGGAAATTTTATTAAAAATGACTGGAAAGTTGATAAACTGATGTTTTTTTTTTTTTTTATTATTTTTTTTATTTTTTTATTTTTTTTATCTAGTTTAAATAATCAGTATCTTCTCATAGCATAATGTAACAATTTTTCTTTAAATAGTTATACTATTTAACTCGGTGTTCTAATAATTCTTTTCAGGCTACTATAGAAGCTGTAGAATTAGATCCAGCTATTCTAGAAGTATCTAAAAAATGGTTTAGTCTCACAACTGACATGAGACTGAGAGTTCACATTGCAGATGGCTTAACCTTTATTCAAGAAGCTGCAAAGAAAGGTCTGTATTGAGCTGAAATTATCTCATATATGTATTAGAATTATTTTGGTAAACAGATATAAAATATTCTACAAGCTTTTAATATTCAATAAAGAAAGTATATATATTGTAATAGTATTGTAATTTATGTAACTATTTGTGGTGTGTTGTGTATTGGCTATTATTTTTGCATTTGTTGTGTAGCAAATTTAATGTAATTAAATGAATCACAGAAATCAAAATTTTAATGTGTAAATATTCAAAATTTTAGCTACACAACAAGTTTGGATATATCAATTTATTTGGCTATTATTATTTATTGCAATCAATTTGGGTTATTTGGTTTTACGCGAACAGCGTCTTCAAACTTGTACACTCAGACAATGGATATAGGTGAATTTTTCACGTAATAAACTCAGTTTTTCATGATAAAAATTAAGTTGTATTTAATATCAATAGTTGCAGAAAAATTAGCTCTTTAATTTGAGATAACTTTTATTTTCCTAACTTCAATTACATTTTAGTTATGAGCTTTTAATTAATAGATTTTTACCGTTGTCATTGTGATTTCTATTCTGGGGGAGGAAATCTCCCTTTTCCGGTAGAATGGTCGTTTTTTCGAGTTTTCAGTGCACTTTCACTGGGACCTCTTCCAGGGTTATTGAGATTCCCACGTTTCTCCCCTCTGCTAGGCATGGCTGGTTGGCGAGTTGGAAAATCCGTTGGGGTTTCAAAGTGGTTGTTTTGGTGAGGTTGTTTGCATGAAGGAATGGTGAGTGTTGCAACTGGTTTCCCCTTGGCGGGGTGTGAGCGATGCCAAGTTAGTGTTCCCGTGCGTTTCTTTTTAACGGGCGGTTTTGAGGTACAAGGACACACACTTTTTTTGGACTTTTGACTTGACGCTTGAGACTACTACTCGCAGGCTGCAAGTAATAGTGTTCCTGGAGTTTGGGAAAGAAGGAAAAATGGAGTCTCGCCCGCTGGATCTACAGGTTTCATGCCCATGTAAAAAGAAATGCTAGAGCATAGCGTCGGCAACATGTTTCCTTCTGATTTTTTTTTATCGTCGGTGTTTACCTGATAAGTTTAATGTTCAAATAAAATAAGAAAAAAATAAATGGAAAAAATAATGGGCCTCCAGAGTAGTAGCCAGATAATCAGACTTCCCTGCAAAAAGACGATGTGCTCCTTCAAATTTATATGCTTCACTCTCCAAGATGATGCGGCAACTTCATCTCTTCCGCAGATGTGCTGATTCTCAACTATATAATTAATCTTCTCAAATGTTAGAAATTTAACTGATCTCTCCTTGGAACTTCCCTGCGAAGCTGATGTGACATCCGTAAAATTTTATGCATCTACTCATCAATATGGTTCGACCGCGTAATCTCTTCCACAGATGTGTGAAATTTTCATCTAAAGGTTTACCCTTCTCATGTTAGAAATTTAGACTTGTAACTTCCCCTGCAATAGTTGGAAAAATTTTTGGCTTCGAATTCACCTAAAGACAATAGTATGGAACTTTTCTCCTCATCTTCTGAGCATTGGATCTGATTAATACACCTCTTCCAACTCACTGGTCAGGCCTCCAGCAGTTCAGATAAGTTTTTTTTTTCTTCAAAGTTTTGGTTGTTAAAGAAATAATTCAGTTTGTTGTGATAAATTAACTTAATTAGAATGAAATAAATTTTGTTAGTTGAGGTTAAGTAACTTAATTAGAATGAAATAAATTTTGTTAGTTGAGGTAAAGTAACTTAATTCGATTAAAATAATTTTTTTTAGTTGATATAAGGTAACTTAATTAGTTTGGCTAAGGAAATATATCCTTAATTAAATTATTTAATTAAAGCAGTGAATTTCTTTCATCGTTAAGATTGTTATGTAAGGTGCCATTAATTGAGCTTCTTTGCTTCGCTTAGGGATTAAATTGTTTGTAAGATGTAAAAGCCTGATTTTATTCCTTAATATTTTACCTGGTTTAATTTTTTTTTTTTTTGGAAAACAATTGATTACAATGTGCAATAACCTTCTTAATATCATTGGATTCTGTACCAAGTTCATTAACCTTTTGAGGCCGGGGGTTTGGTAGCAGTAAAAGCTACCAAAGGACGGGTAATCTTGAACCAAATGCTTTCCCCCTTTAAGAAACCACCTCCTATTTGCAACAAAGATTCTTGTGTGTAGTTTAATGGATTCTCAAAGGGGTGCATCTATGTCGCAAAAGGAAGACCTTTGAAAGAGATAAGTGGTTAAAATTCCAGGGACGTCAAATTTGACATTTCACCCCACTTTCCAGCCTGGAAAATGGGGGAAAACGACGTGGCCACTAAAGTGGACAACCCCATCTTTTCAAAGAGCGGACTCTATGGCCACTATAATGGCCATCCCGTCTTCAAAAGGTTAATAGCTTATTCAGTGTGAAATGTTTTTTTTTAAAGTGTAAATTGTTAAATATTCTTCTTCCCCCCCCCTGGGAGGATATTGTTAATCTATCTAAAAGTTTTATGTGATTATGCTTACCTGTATGAATTCGAAATAATTGTTTGATATTATAGAGTCCTAAAAAAATGTGAGATTATTTAGTAAGAGTATACATTTTGTAATAATCAATATTACAAAATGTATACTCTTACTGAACCTTAACTGGTTAATTTCTGCTAGAATATAAATTGCATACAAATTAAATTAACTGTTTAAGAGTTTAATAAATAGGCACACTTTTCTGGATCAGTAAATGTTTATTTATTTATTTATTTATTTATTTATTTATTTTGTGTGTGCCTCATGTCTTTCACCAGTCAACTACTTAGATTTTATTTCAGGGTTAATCCGAACACAACACAATGTAATGTTTTTGGTTTATTGGGATTAGTATATATAACTGTTGTTAGAAAAATTTAAGTGTTACTTTTCAACTTAGTAGGCACATAACAAATTGTGGTGCCGTACTTAATAGTCACGTAACACATTATTTTGTATTTATTTATTTTATTTATTATTAGTGTTTATTTCTGATGTATTTTTATATGATTTTTTTATCAGTAAGTGTTGATTATATTTTTATGTGTTTAATTAATTTCTTATTTTGGCAGTATTTGTTATTATGTGTAAATAGTTTTTAAAATTCTAAAAATGGGTTAAGGAGGAGGAGTCCATAGGCATATTGGCTGTTAAAATATGCATTGCAAAGTCTGAAATCTGAAATGATCTAAAATCCGGACCTTCTCATCCCCAGCAGCCCTGCCTTTTTTTCTTTAGAAATGCTTTACGCTTGCAAATTTGATATTCTTTCACTGTGCAACATGTGGAGAGTCCTGGTACTTAATTTCATTTCAACATTGATGCTAGCCTGGCAAATCATTATTTATTTTAATCTCTATATGGCTATCAGCACACTGCAGTTTGAGAACCTGTCTAAGCATTTTGTGCACAGTGCTGTCTAAGCATTTTTTAAAAAAAAATTAGTGTTAGCATTTGAATATCAAAGAGCATGGTAACCTTTTATGTTGCTATTATGTGGCAATAATTATAGACTTCAGCTAACTCAGGGCAAAATGTTGAGTGTTGATGAGAATGATGGGGGGGGGGAAATTTAAATAAAACTTATAGGCTAAAAATTACATTAAGTGCTGCTTTAATTCAGAATAACTGGTTTGTTATTAAGTACAGAGATGGTGTGACTACACTAAGCAGAAGAATTTAGGGGAGCAGTGAGCTACGAAATTTAGGGGCAGCAAAATTTTTCAAATTTGAAAAGCCACGTAGCAGCAGAATTTTGGACCCACATAGACTGCAGTGGGTCAGAAAATGTGTAGTGTCGGCCTTAGATAAGCCTTAAATATACATGGGAATTTATTTATTCAGGACTCGGATAAGAATGGAAAATAGTCATAAATAAAATATATAACTAAATTATTATAATTCAGGCATTAATTCATTAGTGTAAGAATTTTCATTAATGTAAGAAGACAAAATTTAGCGGAACAATTGGTCTTTGGTTACCGATCTTCTGATACATCACCAATAGTATAAAATGGATGATAACTAAGCTTTATGGTGATATCCGTGATTTTGAAGGTGTTCATATGTCATAAACAAAAAGCAGAATTTTCCAATTAATGGAATTTTTGAAGAAATGTGAAGGAATGATAATAAATGAAGATGCTATAGCAGAAATTTTTCATTGTGATGATAATGCCCCAATCATCAATCAACTAACAGGTGATGAAATCTGTAGTATGATTCTAAATCCAGAAAATATTTTTACCTGCAGTGAAGAAAGTGACAGAGAGGTAGTTGAGAATGAAAAAAAATAATTTACAATTTAGTGGAGATTCTAGACGTTACGCTTGTAGGACTTGAACAATATAATTTTGTAATGGAACAAAAAATTATGTCTATCTATATAGAATTCAAGAAAAAATATTAGCAGAAAAAGAAGCAAATTAAACTGTTTACATTGAAAGAAGTGTATAATGAAACAAATGAATAATGAGCCTTTTTTGTGTTTGTGTAAATTCTGATTTCCTTAAGGTCATAAGAGCTTTATTATTTAATAAATCACTATTTCATGTTTTAAATTTTGTAATTTCTATATGTCTTCTTAGTAAATTTAAAGTCAAGATTTAAAATCCAAAAAAATCTCTAATACAGAATCGCCAAAGTACCGATGAGTCCAAAATCTCAGACTTTATACTCTGTCAGACTTTAGATGCAGAACTAACTTGAGGAGTGTTTTGGAAGGTTCTGTGAAGCACATTTTGAACTAAATTAGTGATATTTATTCATGTGTTTAGGAGAACTACAATGTTACGTCTCAGTCTTAATTAAGTTACGTTCAACTGCTTTTTTTTTTTTTAAAGTATTTTATTACTTAAAGCTTCAATAAAAGTTCGAATGTTCCTCTTTACTTGACCTATTTATTGAGAAGATCTTTATGGATTTCTCAACATATATAGTATAAATAGAGGTTAGGAGAGGCATATATTGAACTTCAGTATTTAAAACAGTCAATAATAAAG